CTTTTTGCAAGATAAAAAGTTATCGACCTCTCTCTCTCTCTCTCTTCCTTTGTTATACGAGGGAAATGCTGCTTTTCTTGTATCATTTTTTACGGAGTCAAAGTTTGGTAGCGGCAAGTGAAGATGGACGCACAGATACGTAGTATGAATTGGCCCTTGGTGTCAGATGCCAGTTTTATTAGCAGGGACTTGTAAGTCCTTTTGACACTCCTCCTCTGTATTATGATTTTTTTCTGAAACATATGAATTTACTGGTGGGAAAGCATTATGACTTTTATTTTTTCTGAACACCAAGCTTTTACTAAGGGCTCTAACTCCAGATTTATTTGAATAAAGGGGCTACAATAATGTTAGCTATTTTTAATCAAGGGTGATCGAAAGAAGTATGTGATGAGTCTTGATACCTGAGCATTACCTGTTCTTTTTACAGTAAGTTAGATTTTGGTTCTTGACATGTCCGTGATCTTCAGTGTGAGGATCTTTCTGGCTTGTATTTTTTGTAGGGTACTCTATCGATATATATAGTTTCCATAAAAGGGTGGTCGAACAAACTTGGTTATGTAGTGGAAATGTCATGATTATGTTACTTAGTATTCTTTATATTGCTTAATCATATATGTTTTAAGCAAGAAGTTAACTGTTTAGCTATATACATACGTACATTATCATATATTATTCACTGTGGAAGTCTTGTCGAACTGTGACATAATAAGGAGGAATTGATCTTGACAATCAAAATGTGTAGGAAAAAAGAGAAGAAAATTATAATTTATTAATTTTCGTAGAAAAAAATCAACTAATAAGTGTTCTTTTCAATCATCAAACCGTATAAAAATAAAATACAATATAAGGTTGTGGTCATTTTAACATGTCTATAAATATCGATAGAGTACTTGGTTATAATTTAATATAGTATATATCGGATAAATGGCTATCATCTTTTGAAATTCGATACAGCTGTCTTCCGTATAGCTACTTTTATAGTAGACATGACGCTCATCACGTCTTTCGACGAGTATTCAAAATTTTAAATTAAAAATAGTGTATTTCTACATTAGCAAAAGGATTTCTCACATAAGATTTGAAACTCTTTCAACTACCTAACAATCATCAGTGACGACTCATTTAATTGCACTGATAATCTCACATTGATCAAGCTTCAATCATCATCATCACACTAGTTATTAGGGGTGAGCAGTTCTCAGTCCGGTCCGGTCCAACCCAAGAACCGGGAACCAAACCGGGAAGATCGGTTCCCAGTTTCTAAGACCAGGGACTAGACTGGCTAGTCTTGGGACCGTGGACCTAACCGGACCGGTGGTCCTGTCCGGTTTCAATGGGACCAATCACTTATTAGTAAAGGCAAGAGGGAATTGGGGAAATTAGATTGTGCTTTCTATTTTTTTGAAAAATTTTAAAAAGTAAATAAATATATATATGAAAAAATTAGAAAAAAATATATATTTATCGGTCCGGTCCGGTTTCCACCCTAGAACCGAGAACCGGACTGCCCTGAAACCGGTTCCACTTTTAGGAACCGGGAACCAGATCGATATTCTCGAGAACCGGACCAAACCGATCATTTCGGTTCAGTCTGGTCCGGTCCCGGTTTGAGCGGTCCATCTTGCTCACCCCTACTAATTATTATCACCTTTGAAACATATCACACCCCCCATGAAATTTAGATTACTCGATGAGAATGATAAGACCTAAATGAAAACAAATTAAACTACTCATCACTAGTCGAGAGGCATGAAAGTACATTGAGATCATGCTTTACAATTATCACTAAATGAGTTAAGAATATCATAATGCAAAAGAGAGTATTGGGGAATTTCTGCATATTTCGATATATCTGAAAAAGAATACATGAGCCTATTTATAGGCTTTATAAGATGACTATCTAAGATAATATATCAATCAAGATATACGTGCAATCTTGAGAGACACATAGATTCAACAGAATTATCAAATATCTCTAAGATAGGAAATTATTCTAGAAAAATCCCTAATTATATCTAACAAAATGCATTACTCACATGAAATTTAAGAGGAAATATAACAAAAGAGAATTTTGACAATCGTTGTATCAATCAAGTCCCAAAAATTGATAAAACTTTTGGGATACAATATCATAATGTAAAAAGAGAATCTCGATATGCCACTAATTGGACCATACCATGAATTTAGAAGAGTCAAACTAGGAACGGGCGGGAGATGGGGTAATCCTAGCCAACCGCCCCGCTCAGACCATGCCCCAGCAAAGTGGGCAATGCGGGGTTTCACAATTCCAGAGCCATTTCTTGATGCAACTTTCGTGATACCAATGGTTGCACGTCTTGAGCACACAACACTCTTCTCCTTCCTCGAAGATCTCCAGGCAAATCGCGCACCCTTCAATATCAAACTTCTCCAAATCAACTCGATGCCGCTCGACGATGCGATCAAAGAGATCCCGAATCTCGCGGCACTGGAACCAGGTACGGAGCAAGCCGATGCCACACAAGATGAGGAAGAATGTGAGAATGCCGAATCCTATGGACTTTATGAATGTCGATGAAAAGTGGAAAGGAAGAGGAGGCGACGGAGAGGGCGAGGGAGGCATGATGTGTTTGTTTCTTCTTTGAGTTAGAAGAGAAATGGTGTGTGCCTTTGAGCTTTGATCCTCGATTTATGTTTATGTCAGAGGATTAACGACGAATTCATACGCTCCTTTCTTACCGTGAAAAGGGACGACAAATCCAGAAGAGCAAACCCTAAAATGTCAAACATTAACTTTTACGAAATGCTAAAGCGTGGTGGGCTATTCCAAGAATGTATATTTGGAAATGTACTTTTTGCTTGTAATTTCAGCGGATCTTGTAAATATTCTAGGATCATAAAAAGAGAGAGAGAGAATCACTTCACCCTTTATTAGAGGAGGGCATTTATATCCGGACGATATGCATATGAAAAGAAATTAGCTATTTTAGAGAATAACAAAGTATCAAATAATATCCGTAATATCTAATTAATAATATCTTTAATAGGGAAATCTTTAATCTCAATTAACGTAGCTGACTAAGGAAAACAATCAAGCACTTCGTGGGCACTTGATTCAGTTACCCTGGGAGGTCAGATGAAGGCGAATCGGTGAATTGTAATTGTATCATCGTTGCCACGGCTGTAAATTCAGGACCCTGGTTCGCATGATGGGGCTGCCCATTAACTTTTTTGGATGTAAATTTGAAGATAACATACTTCTACTCTATTCTGAGATTGTTTTATCCCAAAAATATAATTTCTGATGAATCTTCAGAGAGGACAGTGTATCAAATATGGAGATGCAATTTAAATGATCCAATGTTGAAACTAAAAATTATAAGCATGATCCCGCGGAGGTTATTTCTTTTTTTCGCCAAAACTGTTTAAGGCAATTTTTCCCTTTTGAAACTTTGGTGTAATAAAGAACTTATGATAAGAATGAGGTAACTTTTAGAGTCCGACTAGCCTAACGCTAGGACTTTTGTGACGGTAGGAACGGTCCAACATCAGCCACACTTTTTTATGGAGGAACTAGGGAGACTTGTTCCAGCGGTTTCATTTTTTTTTTTTTTTACTTCCCATTGCTTCCTATTTTCTTGACTTAATTTAGGATGAGATTAGAGAATTCGAAAAGGAAAATTATTAGCTAACGATACCAAAATCAAAAGTTCAAAGTATATTAGATGGTCACATTCCTTTTTTTTTTTTTTTAGAGTTATTTGGGAACGATATCTCCCAAATCTTTTCTTTGGTGGAGAATGATATTTACTCCTTTAAAAGTTGCAATTTAAAATTTTTCAGTCTACTTAAATCTTTTCTTTGATAGAAAAATATCCACTTACTGGGATTTTTCTATTTGTTATTTCAGTACTGTTAAGTGTTAACTAATCATTTCCTTTTTTAAGTTCTCTAATCTAATGCTAAATTAAGCCAAGAGAATAGGAAGCCACGGGAAGTAAAAAGAAAATTGAAACCAGTAGAACCAGTCTTCCTGTTCCTCAATAAAAAAGTATGGCTGACGTTGGACCGTGCATTTTGCCAATTGCCGGTACTGTTAGTTAATCATTTTCCTAACTTTTAGTGTCAAGGTCTAGCTTTTGCTCAAGCCACCGCGGCGATTTCTATGTACTGCAAGCACAGAATAGGTGCCCTCATCCTGAGGGTGCAATCATTTGTATAGTTTGCATATTGACTATGGACTAACTCTGTTGTGAGTGCAGAAGCTGAGAGTGTTCGCATGGCAACTACATCAAAAGACAGGACCCTAAGGTCGTGGAGGGTAATTAGATCTGTAGTCCTAAAACTGAGCGGGTTTCTTCTTGGTTGCATACATCAAATCTGTTCTGGTTCTTGGGATTGTACTATAAATTTATGGTACAAGAAGGAGTTGGGTGCAGACGATTATCCCGTAACGGTCAAGAAAAAAGTGTTAATAATCAAGTTGAGGAATCTCAAATGGAGGTATTGCTACCTTCTTGACTATGTCAAACGTATTTCTGCATTGACTTTTAGACAATGTTAGACATCATTATTACCTCATTTTGCGTTGTCGAAGCCGGACTCTGATACTTCTAATGGTTTTCAAAATTCACGAGTAAGTGCTGACACGTGGACTATTTCTTCCAATTAGGAAGTCATTCTTCCTTCAGGCGATATAGATTGACCATTTCTTTCAATTATGACAACCTAGTTCTTTCCCTTTTTTGAATCCAAATATAAAAGGATAATAGATTCAATAGCGCCTCCAGAAGTATATGTTTGCAGCTTACATTGCCATATACAAGATATTGAATCCGAACAAGGTGCAGAAAGAAGGTATTCCAGAATGAATCATTTATCCATTTAACTCGATATACCATCATATTGCTTCCCAGTACAGAACACCTTTCAAAATATTGGTAATGAACTCGAAAGAAGCATTTCAACTTGCCTATAAAGGGGAAATATATTTTCTTTGTACTGTTGGCGCCAGTCACTTTTTAGGAGATCTCTTGCATGTACAGCCACTTTAATCCCGCCATAAGAGTCAATGTGCATCCAGTAAAGCAACCTACGAGCAGCAGATAAACAGAAAAATGTACCCCGATGTACATAACTAATAAGAACTTAGGTAGCAAGAGGCAATCACGGTCTCACAAATCAAAAGAGCTTATTAGCCTTGTCTCGCACGTGTAGAGAAAGAAAGTATAGGACTGCTAATTATTTGGAACTAACGAGGTTCTCTTAGCTGTTGGTCTTAGGGTTCTCATCCGTTTACGGCGGTTTCCATTGGCAAAATGCCTAATAAATGCAGCTTCAACTCTTCCCGTGAGCCTTGAAACCTGGGGCTCAAAAGATGATCCAAAGTGTATCTCTTATTTAGATGGGTATCGACATTGAGAAAAAGTTTAGTATCTCAGTCGCTAGTTACAACCTCATCAGAGCTGCCGAGGTACGAATTATCCACCATTTTTAAGTAAGACATTGAAGATTTGGGACGAGTGATCTGCATAATTTGATATTAGAATAGCATATTTTAGCACAGAAAAACCTTGAAGAATATAGCTCGATTGATAAAGTTAATGTACCTTGTCCTACTTCTTCATAATTTTGGATAATGCCAGTTGGTTCATGAAGCCAGTTAGGTTAACTGGCTTGTCATTATACTGAGAAAAGGAATACATATTAGGGGTGTGCAACCGGACCGGGTTTACCTGGAAACCGGACCGGCCCACCCGAAAAATAGGTCCGGGAACCGGTTAGAACCGGTCCGGTTTCCGGTTCCAAGTAAAAACCGACCCGGACCGGTTTTAGAACCGGTTTTGAGATAATGTAAAAAAAAGTAAAAACCCTAGATCATGTTACCCTACCCAGCTACCCAGTCTGTCTCTCACGATTTCTCTCTTCTCTCTTCGCGACCTCCTCTGTCTCTCACGGTTTCTCTCTTCGCAAGCGCCTCGTCAGTCGCCACAAGAACACAACCCAGCTCGTCGCCTGCCTGGGTGTTGAAGAGGGCTAGGGTTCGGTCATCTCGGCGTCCGTACTGTGCGTGTGTTTTTTCCGCCTTTTTGGCTCGCCGATTCAGTAGATCTGTAAGTACGCGACGAAATTCTCTGTGGATTCGCTTGTTTTTCTTTTGGATTGTTGATTTTGATGGATTGTAATTTCAATTGCTCATTTTAGGGATTGTTACTTTTGGCGGATAGTAGTTTTTATTATTCATCTTTTACTTTGAATCGTTTCATTGCTACCTATATTATTTTGCTGGAAGAAAATGAAACCGGAAAAAGGAACCCAAAAAAAAAAAAAACAGGTTCTCGGGTAGACCCTGAAACCGGACCGGAAAAACAGGGTTGGTTCCAAAATAGGGTCCAGGGAAAACAGAGTAAGTTTCAAGTTTTTAAAATTGGGAACCGGTTATAACAGGGTTGGTTTCAGGTTTCAGGTCTGGACCCAACCCACCCTGGAACCGATCACCCCTAATACAGATGATCCTCGATTACAGTAAAATTGGTGGAGATTGGCCTAACCAGTAGCATTTTAGAAGTTGAAGATTTTGGTAGGATTCCGTAAAAGCTCCAGTCATCAATTCCTCTGATTTCCTCAGCTCTGCCTCGGTGAATGACACATCCGAGTTTGAACTCATCAGGATTTAATTAGCAGCTGATACCGGACTTTGAGGTTGGACAGTGATCTTCACGCGATCCTTGATATTAGTCGGAGCTGGTCTGAAGTCGGAGCTATCGGCTTTGCTTCTGTTGACCTTATGATCCGTATCTGCAACTTTTGCGGGGCCATCATCTCTATCTTCTGATTCATTGTATTCCTCACTAGTCATCTCAACTTCTTGGATAACACCCATTCGCGTCCATCCTAGACAAATAAAATAACGAATTATGAGATTGTGAAGCTGAGAATTTCTTCACGATCCCGAAAGGGGAATTCGTGCCAGTCCCACAGTTTGCAAGGTTGAACCGTAACCTGCTGTCTAAATATGAAATATGGCCATCTAGATTCCATAATAATGTTTTCCGAATTTTTGCCACCAGCAAAGATTCAAACAGACTCATTTCAATGATCTGTAGCTTTCCAAGAATTTTCCCCCGTATTCCTTCTTTTGGGTCAAAAGACAGTTTGTTTTAGATAGTTCATAGTAAATTTCGGATTAAATTGACCGTGTTTCGAAGAAGAAAACGAATTTGGAGCACCAGTATGCTGGTGGCAAACCTAAAACAAATACAGAAATCCAGACTGGCATCTGTGCTAGATGCCCTGATTAAGACGTTTTGTTTTCTACTTGGTAGGTGAACGGACAAAAAAGAAGTTTCATAGCAGGACAAGAAAAGCAGCGGAAACTTAATGTGCACACCACCTCACCTGACCTTGTACCGTTAACAGCAACGGAGACTGGGGATGGCGAGATACCTATGGCAGCGATGCTAGTGCTGGTCCCCGGTAATCCCATGACCAGTTTCTTGATCCTGATGCGAAAGAGTGATCAATGCATTCATCTGCCTTGATCAGTTCATCTGCCTCGGCCACCACTTCCTCTACCTTTTTTTATAAAAGCCGAGGACTTTGTCGAACTCATTATCCAGCCTCCCGAAGAACAAGAGCTTGCACTCACCTCCCTCGTCCGACGAACTCAGACATGGTCTGGTGCCTCCCATGATCCGATCCCTCCTCTTGAACCGTGCTCACTAGTATCACTTCTTCGTCTTCACCACTTTCTTTGGAAGAATTTCCCGGTGTACCGGCCCGCTGAAGGCTCAGTAGACTGACCCCCATTTCTTTAAAGGGCCCTGCGAGGTGGTCGTTGGTGCCCTTGGGGATGGCCGCGAATACAGCTGCCGGTGGCGCAAGACGTCCTTCAAGATCAACTAGCGAAAGTTGTGATCCATGTAGGTGTCTTGCCATTCCGGCACCATTTGGAACACAAACTCTTTCCCAAACTTCATCTTAAGCTTATAATTAAACTGTAGATTCACATGGTGCTACTTCTTCAGCTGAACAGGAATGAAACTGCAAAAAGTTGTGAACTGCAAAGTAATGATGAAGGGAAAATGTTCTTGGCCCGTTGATCCATTTAGCACAAGAAAGAAGTTCAAGGCAGTTTGCTGTGTTTTCATTGAGATGTACCCTGAATCTCTGTAGTGTAGGGACACACAGGTAATATGCGCAATTTACTCGGGACCAATTTTCGCTTATAACCACTCTCTCTCTCTCTCTACCGTTAAAATGAAATTATAGTTAAGGCATGAGAAGAAACATCCAATGAAAGGTGACCTTTCCAATCTCATATCGTTCTTCTGAGAGACTTGTTCTTGTTCTCACCCGTTGCTATTGTTTGGTGTTCTCCATTCTTAGAGTCTTGCCTAGAAGATGGCAAGTTCATCAAAGGAGAAGACATATTGGACGATCTCTCTTGCAGTACCCGCACTGCCTGTTCGACGAAATTCCTCACCCCAAACGCGTTCTTCTCATTCCCGGTATCCATCAACACTCTGTTGACTTCTCGCACCACTGTTTCATTTCTTGGCGGTGTTCTCTGTTTTGTGTTTGTTTTTTTTCTTTTAAATCCCTGTGTTTTCTTCCTGCCTGTTTGAGTGTTTAGTTTTGCAAGAACTAAAATTAGCTGCTGTCCACTTAGCAGCCAGTGGCTGCTGCCCGGACATGTTGATGTCCTTGGATGGACTATCTGTCACCAGCTTGACCCTGCACGTTCTTTATGTGCCATAGAGAAGTAGCGCATTGTTGGCTTTTACCTATTTTCGATTTTTCCTATCTCTCCTCTCAGTATTAGTTGATTCTAATTCGTTACATTAATTGTGCGAGGAGAGAGACCTAACTGATTTGTTTTTCCTCTCTTCAAACTTAATCGAGCAATTGTAATAGGTGTGTATACTCTGTTTTAATGGAGTTTCAAGTTTCATTGGGTTAGTAGATGTTGCAAGGAAACAGAATGAGTTTATGCTTCATTAAACTGACGTCGAGAGTCGAGGTCAAAAGCAACCCAGTGTTGGGTCGAAGCAATCAAATACTCCACAAAGTATTGTCTCACTTTTGTTGATATGCAAAATTCATGTCCTCGGGTGCTTTGCTCGACTTATTATCCTTCTATACGCTGAAATGCTTTTTACATGGCAAAAATCCGTGAATCAACTACAACAAAGTTTGGTTTTTCATATGCCAGGAGTAACGGGCATCCTTGTTCCGTTCTCTTAGTCATGGTTGAAAGGAAGGGGTACTGACTTGAAGGCCCGGTACTTGCCGACATTATTTATTTATTTTTTTTTATTGACTAGAATGGGCTGACTTGAAGGCCCGGTACTTGCCGACATTATTCAAGTGCTCATTTTCCAACCTGGGCGATTTAGAGGGAAAAAGGAATCACTGTTTCATTACTATTGTACGGAAGCGAAAGTCCTAAAATATCAAGGTGCAGGGGACTGAAATGGAAGTCGGCAAAAAGGGTAAAAAAAAATGCTCACTTTAGGATGAACTCTGATGTGTTTTATTCACTGCTCATTAATCAGCGGTGTTCGATCAGGTATGTCATTGGATTTTTCTGCTTCATGGCACAAAGGTAAGCGTAGGGGAAAAGAACATGGCATACCTGGAAAAAATTCCATATCCCACGGCGGATGATTTCTAAGCTAGCGATGATCGCAATCAAGGCCACTCTGTGTAAGAAAGGCGCTTCTCTGGAGCCTTAAATGTTCTGCATCCATGCCAGTCTCGGTATGACATTTAGCACCTGCTGTTGCACGTAAGTCGAGCAGAGATGGTCCCTGAGATATGCCCGCTAGCGGCAAAACAAGAAAGTTGAAGAGCTTCTAGCATTCAGCCTTCATCTCCTCTGGGTAAACATTACGAAAGTTGCGTGGCACAATCTGCCCATTTGCTTACAATGGCCATGAATTAAATGCTTGTGTTTGGAATTGCGAGTTTATCTCTCAGCCAGGATTCTTGGCATTTCGCCTCAGGAGGCCCCAATCAATGACGAGATCCCTATACTTGTTGACAACCGTTGCAACCCGGAGCTGGCCGCTGCGATGATCTTCCACGTGACCCCCTTTCTCAAATCATGACCCGTTCTCATGACAACCGCAAGGATGGATGAAAAGTGCTTCAGGCCGTTGAGCCCGTGCATTATGCATCGCTCATCGTACAGGCGCCGGAGGCACTAAAAACATGGAATGTCATGAGATTGTTGAGAACCAACATGATGGAACAAATAATTATGATACTACATAGCAAAGCGGAAAATTCTCCAAGGAAATGAGACAAGACGCTAAAAGCAGGCTTCGCCAGCGGAGAATCTCATGAGATCTGAAATTAATTATGTCTTCATGCGAGTTTACCCGAAGAAAACGCATCCCATATGGCATAACTGCGTCGTTGAAGTAAAACACTTCGTAGAGTTTGCTTTCATCACATTTGTTTGATCTTGTTCTGCAATTCCCCCAACCGTAGTAACAGATATAAAACTCCAAATTTCTGAAGGCCTGAACCCGAAAAGCAATTGCAACGGGTATAATTACATGCGAAGAAACCTTTGTTCAAAGATTAAAATAAGAAATGACGATGTAATGAGTTGATTCAGTTTTGTTTGTTCAGATGACCTCCACCCAGGATCTGACAGAAATGTTGTTATTTGAAAGAGAAACATGACCCACAAATGACAAGAAAGGATTTTGCTGAAGTAGACAATGATCAATTTTCAGAATCCTGCTATAGATGTTGATAAATAAGTCAAGGAGATCAGACCAGTGAAAAACATGTCAAAAACAAAAGATGAACTTATTCTTTGACCTGATGTTCGGTGATTCAGAAAATCTGGTCATAGGCTCTAGACTAACACGAGATGAAACCACTTGGGAATATAGTAACAGCTCGTAATATACAACTGTGTCACAAGAATTATGACTACTGCAAGAGCAAACCTGGCTGGTAAGTTGATCTGAGAAGAAGAAATCAGGTAGTGTTACCTGCAGCATCGGCATAGTGAAATGAAATCAACCCATTCTTCATGAAGGTTATGTATGTGTGTCTGGTTTGTCCTAAGTCAGTATGCTTATCTTGAAATATGGAACACGTATACAATGAAAAGCACACTGAACCAGGAAGAAGCGGCTCAAATGGTATATGATGTTGAAAGGGCAGAATGTTATGCAAATCACAACCTGTCTAGTAGAGCCCTTAGTCTCGTTAAATACCAAATTAAGCCTCTCCTATAATCTAGCTTTCCACTTTCAAATGCATAAGTATCGAGATTGGGTGATTGGAGAAATTTCTTTCAATCTTACCACGGCCAACCCAAGGGGAACTAATTCTCTCGACGCCGTATAGCTTTTTGTTCTTGGGTCCATATCCATATGAAGATTAGACAGAACGCCGGCCAACATTAAGACTGGGAGCCCGCAACTAAGAAGGACTTCCCTATAACCCAGTTCAAATCCCTTTTTTGAATCCAAATGTAAAGGGATGATTGACCTGACAGAGCCTCCGTATGTGTTCGCGGCGTTGTCGCGCCACGCTCTCGCGTGCTAGAATGGAGGTATTTTTCTATACGGGCCTCTCCCAGACCATACCTCACGTGACAGCGGGGTTTATTTGATCTAAATTTGAACTTGGAGTCGCCACTAGTCATTTACGGTAGGTTGACTAGAAACTTAATTGAGGTACGGGAGAAGTACCGCAATCCTACGAACCAGAGATTCTGAATAAGGGACTTGGTTACGTTAACGATCCCAAATTGAGACCATTAACGCCCTTTCGGTACCTAAGAACGATATGGGTTGTCTAACGTGTCACACGGATCCCTAAGGTCAATTCACTAATCTAATCATGAACAGACAGTTAAGCACCCAAGAATTAAATGCACATCCAATGACAAATCAATCATAGTAACCCTAATTTGGCCACTAACAATGAAAATCAAACGAAACAGCCAAACCCTCACGAATCTCTAATAGCTTGTTCATTTCATGATTTACACATTTTTAGGGTTTAGGGTTTTTTAGGGGTTTTATCCTTAAATTTGGAATTTTCCAAAAAATGCCACTTAGGCATTTCGGAAAATTCAAATTTTACTTTTTATGACTGGCCACAATGATTTTTAATCATTCTGTGGATTTTCAAAATTTTTGATTTTTTGATTTTTTTTTTTAAGTGTCATTTGGACATTTCAAAAATTCAAATTTCATCTTTTATGAATGGCCACGATGATTTTGGACCTTTCTGTGAATTTTCAAGTTTTTTGAATTTTTTTATTATTTTTATTTCGGAAAATTTTTTTTAAACCAAGAAATGACTTTTTTATGAATTTCTGGAAATTTTTGTGAATTTTCCAATTTTTCAACTTTTATTGATTTTCCAAAATTTTCAAAATTTTTTATTTGTATTTTCCGAATTTTCGAAAATTTTCTGAATTTTCTGAAAATTTTTGTATTTTTCTGAATTTTCTGTAATTTTTTTGAATTTTTATGAATTTTCTGCAAATTTTCGAATTTTCTAAGAAAATCTATTTTTTTTTATGATTTTTGTGATTTTTTATTTTTTTAGAATTTTTTTAGAATTTTTTTATTTTTTATTTTTTATTGTTTTTTTATTTTTCCCGCCGGAGGACGAACCGGACCGGTTCAGACCGGTTCGGCCGAGACCGAACCGGCCGGCACCGGTGCCGGTACTCCGGTTACCCTCTCCGGCGCGCACAACACCAAAACGGCGTCGTTTGGGCATTTTTTTATTTAGGCATTTTCACAAACGGTTGGTGGGCATTATTCCATGTTTTCAGTTTTCAAGGCTGCCGGTTCGAGCTCGTCGCCGACGAGCCTCCGGCGACCTTTTGGTCATTCTGATTGCACCAAAGTGATGTCCATGCGTTCTATTTTTCATCTAGCCTATTCAGGTCGCCGCCGGACCTTCGCCGGCCGGCGAAAAATCGGTCCAAAAAACCTAACTTGCACCGTTTAGATTTTCATTTTTTAGAACTTGAATCCTAAAACTAGCCGCCCTAGCCGTCTAAATCGGTTCAAACAACTATCAAAACATCAAATAAGGTTGAGAAAGCTGACTTGCATGGCCCTACAGCCACGGCGACGCTCCGGCGAGGCAAAAACGGCTCCGGCGAAGGGATTTTCATATGTGGCCGACTTGGTTTGATGCGTTTTTAATCATTCAAATGCAATCAAACAAGAAAGACATGATTAGAAACTAGTAATGAACATCAAAATACCAAAATTCGTCAATAAAATCACTCAAAAATGCACATTGAAATCAAAATCAAATTCTGGAAAATTTTGGTTAAAACTGATCACGAAGGGTTTTTACCTGGTTCGTTCAACAATTAAATGAAATTTTTGAAGTAATCGGCGCCCAGATAATTGTTCCTTGACACTTTTTCTTCACTCTTGTGGTCGTTTCTTCGCAGGAACAGGTCTGGGATGGCCGGAAGAGACTCGGTTTCAGACGTTCCCGGTCAGCTTCAAATCCAGTTCGCCAGTGAGGAAACTCACCGGCGAGACCGATTTGCAGGCGATTTTCGATCGGAAAAGCGCCGATCACTCGGCCTCAGGGAGTCTCAACTCACTTCTCTCTCTATTTTTTCCTTTTTCTCGTCTGTTTCTCTCTCTCTTTCTCCTCGGAATTTTCTCGAACAGGTTTCGTTCTTCGACTTCAGTTTTTTTTCTCATTTTTCTTCTTCGATTCGCGCTCAAATTCGGTTGGAACCGAACTCCAATCGGTTTTTGGGTTGTTAAACGGTGCCAGATGGATAATATCCAGCTGTCAAAATTTATTAAAACGTGCTCAAATAACTAAAAATGTTTGACGAAGTCCACGGGTTTGAGTCGGTTTTTTCCTGGGTTTCTCACGGGTTAGGCGGCCGGGCGAAGAAGATGAACTGTTCGGTTCGGTTCGGGTCGACCCGTCCAACCCGGAAGTTCCGGTTTTAACTAAATCCTCAAATTAAGTCCGATTTCCGCCAAATCTTCAAACTTCGACCCCAAAATTGAATTCCCCATCACATTCAGAACCCAAATATATGATTTTCCCCAATTTTTATAATAATTGTGCCCAAGATTTTCTCATTTTTATATTCGGATTAATAGGGTTTTGTTTAATTTGATATCCTAATGACCTTATTAGGCAAAATTGATGCCAAAATTGAATTACCCACCACTGATTAACCCTAGAAATGATAGTCTCACATTTCGAAAATTTCATTTTGGGCACGATTCCCAATTTGGGTTCAAAACTCTTAATTTTCAATCAAATTTTGGGGATTTTTTATTTTTATGTCAAATTGTGCAATTGGACTGACCAATATGCAATTCAAGGTCCCAGAATCAACTGTTATGAAGACACTAAGACTTAAAAATGTCTAGAAAAAATTTAATTTCATTTTTCGTTCAATTCGGGTTTAATTTTGCCCAATTTTGGGAAAAGCATATACCCGATTGAGATTTTCTAAAATTTACAGTGTATTTATGAAATTGGATTTAAAATAAGACAAATGAATATTTTTATGGAATTTTCTGATTCCATTTACTATTTTTCTTGATTTTCTTGCTTATTTTGACTAAGAGAAATTAAAAAAATTGCAGAAAAATGCTAAAAAATTATTTTTTGGTTTAGAAATAGGTTTCCAGGCTTGGCCAAGATCCCTAGACCTAATTTTAAATTTTTTGAAAATATGACAAAAATAATCTAAAAATTAGGTGTCAACAAGCGTACATCGCCGTATGCAAGATAATAAATCCAAGCAAGCTGTAGAGATAAGGCATTCCAGAATGATTCATTTGGTTTCTGGACAGTTTTACTTGTAGATTTAGATGGAGCATTTGTAATGCAAATGTTTATATATGATTCTGTTCGACTCGTTCATGAGTATAGTTCGGCTAATTTCACCCGTGCTACCCAAGACACAGATTTATGCTGGTTCAGAAGAATAAATTGGCTTATATCACTTCAGAGAAGTTTATTAGAAGAGGTACCGAAACAACCGACAGAGTCGATATATTTTTGTAATCATGAAGAATGAACTCGACACAGCACGGGAAGCAGAGTTAAATTCGCAATGGTCTTCCCATTACAACGCACAATTTTGAATACTGAGGAACTAGACAACTAGTATTTGGATAACTCAACTTTTTGAGTATACTCTTGTGGACAACTCATCATACCCGGTTTTCTTGGATTAATTAATTTGTGTCCTACACAAGTATTTCTCATCTCATTTCGGCAATGATATTCCGCAACCCAGCCATTCACCGCATGGTTTTAGGATTGATCTGCTCCCAACAGATAACATATACAATCCTACACACACATGGTTTAGTATGATCAATTCCAAGAGTGCTGTAAACCAACTAACAGAAGTACTGTTGTATCTGAGGTACCAGTACTAACTACTTAGGCACACAGGAGGGTAAAACTTGGAAACTACATCACTTTAAACAGATAAGGAAACATGACTTCGTTGTTTGAAGATGAGGAGGAAGAGAATGAATCCCATGAGGCGGGACTGGAGCTACT